AAACTGAAATATATATCTAAATTGAAAAATATCTAAAAATGCACTCAATTGAAAGCAAAAATAAAAAACCTGAAAGATTTTTTCTCACTTAGCAGTCTAGACCAGGCAGAGGTCTAGTCTGCCATAGATAATATAATAATATAGTATATAATAAGAGAATAAGTGATATATTGTAATAAATGTTACTTAATATATAATATTCCACTTATAATAAAAACTATTTATAACAATAATTATAATAATTAATGTCACTTATAATGAATACTATTTACAATAATTATTGTTTACAGCGCCAGCTGATGGACGCCTACATACGTCAGAAGCGCGCCTCGCCTGGGATGGTGCAGGCCAGCGATCTGCAGATGAGCCGGCCGATGTCTGGGATGCGCAGCAATAGCCGTGAGCTGCACGGGTACGATGGGCCGATGCAGTTCATTGGCTCGCCACACAATCCAGATCAGATATTGAGCAACAACAGCACAACAGGTGTTCATCTAACCAGCAGCCTCAACTCGAGTCGCAACAACTCGAACAACTTGCGCAGCCTTAGCACGATCAATCAAGAAGGTGATAAGGATAAGAAAAGAACAACAACAACAGCAACAGCAACAACAATAATTAATACTCTATTTAACTGCAGACTTAATCGAGGAGATCTCGTCGCATGAGCTGGAGGACGATGAGAGCAGTCCGGTGACGGTAGTGGAGCAACCGATTCAGCCACAGAGCGCCAACTCGATGCAGTCCCAGCGCCTGCGCAGTGGCCAGCAATCGTTCAACGAGCCGCTGGACGAAGACGACTATGCCAATCGCAACATATCGGGCGTGGCCGCAGTGCGTCCCGCCAACATTGCCTCGCCCTACAAGGACAGCGCCGCCGTCGAGGGCAGCAACGGCACCGCCAACGGCAGCGGCAGCATCGGCGGCAACGGCGAATCGGAGGGCGATGTCATTGGGAACATCGATCAGTTCGTCATGCAGCCGGCGCCACAGGGTGTGCTCTACAAGTGCCGCATTACGCGCGATCGCAAGGGCATGGATCGCGGCCTGTTTCCCATTTACTATCTGCATTTGGAGCGCGACTATGGCAAGAAGATCTTTCTGCTGGGTGGTGAGTGGGCATACCCAGAGATCTCTGCTTCAGCAAAGATTAAGTCCTGATCAACTTCACTTTGTCACTTCCAGGTCGCAAGAGAAAGAAGAGCAAAACATCCAACTATATCGTGAGCTGCGATCCCACCGATCTGTCCCGCAATGCGGATGGTTTCTGCGGCAAGCTGCGCTCCAATGTGTTCGGCACATCCTTCACGGTGTTCGACAGCGGCAACAAGGAGAGCACTGAGAATCCGCGCCTCGATCTGGCCGTCATTATATATGTATGTCTAGTCAGTCTACCAACCAAGTCGATCTTTATTAATTACCTAATCCTCACCAGGACACCAACATTCTGGGCTTCAAGGGACCGCGCAACATGACTGTGATACTGCCGGGCATGACTGAGGACGATCAGCGTGTCAAGATCAGCTCAGCGGATCCCAAGCAGCAGGGCATACTCGACTTGTGGAAGATGAAGGTAAGTTGAGCGTAAGCAATTCAAGATTCCAGCATTCACAATCTCTCTCTCTCTCTCTCTCTCCCTCTCTTTCTCTCTCTGTTTCTTTCTACCAGAACATGGATAACATTGTGGAGCTGCACAATAAGACGCCAGTGTGGAACGATGAGACCCAATCGTATGTGCTCAATTTTCACGGTCGTGTCACGCAAGCCTCGGTCAAGAACTTTCAGTTGGTGCACGACTCGGATCCCGAGTATATAGTCATGCAGTTCGGACGCACATCCGAGGACGTGTTCACCATGGACTATCGCTATCCCCTGTGCGCCATGCAAGCCTTTGCCATAGCTCTGAGCAGCTTCGATGGCAAAATCGCCTGCGAGTGAATCAGATTGTAAATGGAAGTCAACTTGGCATTGATTGAGAACGCAGTTACGCATGCCTTATTATGCTCGACTAAGCATACCCTAACTCTAATTGAATGCGGTCGTCGTAGAATGTAAGAAATATCAAGAGAGAAGATCAGAGCAAAGGAGAAACTTGTATCAGACATAGGCTATATATAAAACAAACGTTATTCAGCTGTAATAATACAGTGAGTTATATATTATTTTTCACAAATACCCTACAAAGACCAACACCACAACAAAATACTATTTCATTAAATTTTCAATACTTTTACCTTATCCAAATGCTTCAAACTTTAAACTTTAAACTAAATTCTGTACTTAAAAGTTCATATTTATATATGAGTATTATTATTTTATAATTTAAAACATATATAGTCTATAATTCTAGTCAGTCGAAGTGCGCATCAATACAGATTTGCGGCACAGTAGGCAACAAATCACATATTTCTATATAAATATATAGATAAWTAAATAAACATATTTAATGTAAATTAGTATATATAAAAAAAGTCTACTCACCGATTTTATAAAACAGAACAAAAAACATACCACAAACTCTATCTCTATGTTCTTCACACACACAAATTTCAAAATCATGAACAAATCAAATGGAAAAAGTAACAAAAATCAAACATACATATTTCAAAAATACTAAAAAATCGATTTTCTAATTTGAATACAGCTCGAAATGAAAATATATATATTAATATATATTCTATATATACAAAACTATTTATATTGATGTATCTAGATCAAAAGAAATTACTATTAGTGCATAAGAGAGCATTACTATTTGTGCCGAGCTCTTATTATAGTTAAGTAACAATCTAATTTAATAAACAATTATTTTTCAAAACAACTATTTATGTATATCAAATTAAACAAAATATATGAAACCAAAAAAATAATAAAATACAAATGAATAGGAGAGCATTACTATTTGTGCCGAGCTCTTATTATAGTTAAGTAACAATCTAATTTAATAAACAATTATTTTTCAAAACAACTATTTATGTATATCAAATTAAACAAAATATATGAAACCAAAAAAATAATAAA